CATCAGCATCATCATCACAGTCATCATCATCATCATCATCCTCATCATCATCATCATCAGCAGCATCATCATCAGCATCAGCATCATCATCACCATCATCATCACCAGCATCATCATCAGCATCATCATCAGCATCATCATCATCATCACCAGCAGCATCATCATCAGCAGCATCATCAGCATCAACATCATCACCATCATCATCATCATCATCAGCATCATCATCACCACCACCATCATCAGCATCATCAGCAGCAGCATCATCATCATCATCATCATCATCATCATCCTCATCATCATCATCATCAGCAGCATCATCATCAGCATCAGCATCATCAGCATCATCATCAGCATCATCATCAGCATCATCATCATCATCACCAGCAGCATCATCATCAGCAGCATCATCAGCATCAACATCATCACCATCATCATCATCATCATCAGCATCATCATCACCACCACCATCATCAGCATCATCAGCAGCAGCATCATCATCATCATCAGCATCATCATCAGCATCCTCATCATCAGCAGCATCACTAGCATCAGCATCGCCATCAGCATCAGCATCATCAGCAGCAGCACCATCAGTTTCGGCATAGTCAGATGCATCATCAGCATCGTCAGCAGCAGCAGAAGCATAATCATGATCATCATCATCATCATCATCATCATCATCACCAGCAGCACCACCACCATCATCATCAGCATCCTAGTCATCAACAGCATCATCTTCATCATCATCAATCAGTATCACCAGCATCATTAGAATCATCATCAGCGTCATCATCACCGTCATCATATCATCAGCATCATCATCAGCAGCACCACCATCAGCATGAGCACCATCATCAAAATCAGCAGCATCATCAGCAGCAGCAGCATAATCACAATCATCAGCATCATCACCATCAGCAGAATCATCATCATCATCATCATCATCATCGTCAGCAGCATCAGCAACGTCGTCAGCAGCATCATCATCGTCATTATCATTATCATCATCACCACCACCACCATCATCATAACATGAAACCAGCATCATGATCATCGTCGTCAACAGCATCAGCATCATCGTCATCATCAGCATAATCAGCATCATCATGCTCACCATCATCATCAGTATCATCATCATCTTCATCATCACCATCATCATCATCACCATCATCATTATCACCATCCTCATCGTCAGTATCATCAGCATCAACATGATCATCATCATTATCACCATCCTCAGTATCGTGGCTATCATCACCATCGATCGCCATGATCATCAGGCACGAGGTGTTACACGCGACGGCCTCCCGTGCCCCCTCGAACAGTCGCCACCCAAAATGCTAGGCTGGCACCGTGGCGGGACTTGCCGCGAGAAGCTGGATGACGGGGTCCCAAAAGCCGGAATGGAGGGAAAACGCCCAGAGGAAACAATCTACGGCGGCGGCCCGCCGAGAGGCAGACCACAGCCTGCCGCGAGGCTAGCCCGCGCCCTCATCGTTGTCGTCGTCGTCGTCGTCGCCGCCGCCGCCGTCGCCGTCGTCGTCGTCGTCGTCATCGTCGTCATCGTCGTCGCCGTCGGCGGCGAAAGGGTCGTGGTCCGTCGTCCTCGTCGTCGTCGTCGCCGCCGCCGCCGCCGCCGTCGTCGTCGCGCGGCACGCGCCGCCGCCGCCGCGGCGTCGTCGTGGCGGGGTCGTCGTGGCGGCGCCGCAGCGGCGGCGGCGTCGTGGCGTCGTCCCCAAGGCGCCCGCCACGCGCCGCAGGATTGCCAGGCAGGCGCCGCGCGCCGGCGCGTCCCCGCTGCGAGAGAGGCCGTGCACCGCGGAGGCCAGAGCGCCGCCGCGCAGCGGGCCGCACACCTGCCGTCCGGGACGCGGCGACGCCCGACGACAGACCGACCGAGCGACGACGACGCCCGACGACCGACGCCGCCCGACGAGGACGACGACGACGACGACGACGCCCGACGAAGACGACGACCACGACGACGACGACGACCACGACCACGACCAAGTCCCCGACCACGACCACGGCCACGTCCACGACGACGACGACGACGACGACGACGACGACGACGACCACGACGACGACGACGACGAGGACGACGAGGACGATGACGACGACGACGACAGCCAACCAACGACGACGACGACGACGACGACGACGACGACGACGACGACGACGACGACTAGGACGAGGACGACGACGACGACGACGACGACGAGGATCTTCGACATCGTCCCCACAGTCGTCATGAAAATGATGATCGTCATCGCCTTCGCAGTTGCCGCCGCACAGCTGAGTTTGCCAAAAAGTTGCGTGTTTGGGTGGAATGTTTGCAGGAGCATTGGAGGTGGTCACGCGCGGATACGGTCGACATGAACCGCACCTCATATACATCCTCCTTTCTAAAAAAAGACATACTGGAGCAAAAATAATCATGATCTGTTGAGGGCTGTAGGGCTATAGGGTTATAGGGCTAATAGGGCGATAGGGCTACTGGTCTATTGGGCTATTGGGCTAAAGGGCTATAGGGGTATAGAGCTGCAGGGCTATACGGTCATAGGGCTATAGGGCTATAGGGCTATAGGGCTATAGGGCTATAGGGCTATAGGGCTATAGGGCTACAGGGCTATAGAGCTATAGGGCTATAGGGCTATTCGGCTTGGGCGATAGGGCTATGTGGCTATAGGACTATAGGGCTATAGGGCTATAGGGCGATAGAGCACCCGGGCACCCGGGCACTTGGGCACCCCTGGGCAGCTCTGGGCACCCCAGGGCACCTCCGGGCTTCCCTGGGTACCTCCGGGCACCTCTGGGCACCTCCGGGCACCCCTGGGCACCCCTGGGCACCCGGGCACCCGGCCGCCGAAATCGGCGGCACACCTCACCTAACGATATGAATCCGCTAGGACTCCTACAGAGGCAAGCTCTGATTGGGGAAATAGGTTCTATCACCCTCCCCCTCCGGGACTTAAAGACCATCCTTTTCGCATTGCAATTTACATACTCATACTATGCCAGCCAAACCGGTGTCGACCCCCCCTCGGTTCCCTTGCAAAAAATATTATGCGCGCACGCTCGTTCATAAAAAAAAGGCTTCGAGAGTCCCTTGCAAAAAATGGAACGAAGTGCGCACGCGCGCGTCGTCGCGCGCGCATGCCGAAATCCTTGAGAAAACTTCGGTTTCGGAAGGAGTTCAAAATCAAGTGTCCGAAAACATACAGAACAGCAGGGTTTCGCAACGCGGATTTTGAACAAAAGCGTGCGCGCGCGCTCTTGCGTCGTCGTTGTCGTCGCCGTCCTCCCTCCTCCCTCGTCGTCGTCGTCGTCGCCGTCGTCGTCCTGTGTTTCCTCGTCGTCGTCTTCTTTGGCGTCGTCGTTCCCGTCGTCGTTGTCGCCATGGTCGTCCTTCCTCCTCCCTCGTCGTCGTCGTCGTCCGTCGTTGGCGTCTCGTCGTCGTCCCCGCTATTTCGTCGCCGTCGTCTTCGTCGTCGTCTTTCCTCCTCCATCGTCGTTGTCGTCGGCGTCGCCGCCCTCCCTCCTTCTTCGTCGTTCGCGTCGTCGTCGACCTCCCTCCTCCCTCGTCATGGTCGTCGTTATCGCCGTCGTCGTCCTCCTTCCTCCCTCGTCGTCGTCGTCTTCGTTGGCGACGTCGTCGTCGTCGGCGTCGTCGGCGTCATCGTCGTCGGCGTTGTCATCGTCGTCGTCGTCGTCGGTGTCGTCGTCGTCGTTGTCGTCGTCGAAGTCGTGGGAGTCGCCGTCGGTGTCGTCGTAGTCGTCGTCGTCGTAGTTGTCGCTGTCGTCGTCGGCGTCGGTGTAAGTGCCAAAGGCAATTTGGCACCTACCGTCACGGTCTCAAGAGGTCTTGCGACCAAGTTGCGGGTGGGAGAGTGGGATGTTTGCACGAGCAGTGGAGAGGACAGCTTCAAGACAGTCAAAGTGAATTCCAGCACATAGATTGCACCACATATGTTGCCTCACATAGATTGCACCGCAGCAGACAGTATGCACCAGGTAGCATCCACCACGGCTTTCCCCGAACATATTGCAACACATCGCTCGCACCACACAGTTTGCACTGCATAGTTCGCGCCGCCTAGCTTGCGTTACACATATCTCGGCACACATCTCACACATCCATAACGGAATTCGCCAGCCCAACGGGCCAGAGGCGTGCTAAGGTCTCCAGTAACTGGTTAACAACATTCTAGTTCGCGCGCACGGAGCGGCCCCTGGGGGCCCCCGGACGAAAAGTACCCCGGCAAGGTCCCGGCAGAAGCCACCAGAGCACTCCAGGGGAGGGCCACTTTTCGACACCCCACACGAGGATCGTGGCCTCCGAGGGGGGAGCCGCAATCGACTACCCCCCTCCCGCCCCAAGAGGCCCCCAAAAGCCCCCCAAGAGGCCCTGGGGGCCCCCAAGACGCCGCCAAGGAGCCCCAAGAGACTCCCAAGAGGTCCCCAAGCGGCCCCCAAGAGGCCCTAAAGAGGGCTCCAGGACCGGCGGAATGAGCGAAGCGATTAAATAACTCAAACTTGGGGGAGGCCTTGTTGGCTAAAATACCTATTTGCCTTTCTTTGACCTAGAAGCGGGGTCTCTAATGGAGGGTGGATTCTCTACAAAACGGGGCCTCAAACGAGTGGAGTGGTGGGCCCACCAGGCGCTCGTCATAGGGGCCCGTCCCCCAATTGAAAGGCACGTATGCAGGGACTTACGCGGAGGGGACTTGGAGCGGGAGGGCGTGCAACGCAGCATCGCTCGTGCACCTCTGGCTTGCTCTGGTTTCCTCCGCCTCCTCCCCCCTCCCTCCCCCCCTTCCTCCTCCTCCTCCCACACGCCGCCGCCGCCGTCGCCGCCGCGCGGCGGCGACGCTCCTCCTCCATCGCCCCTCCCCTCCTCTCCTCTCTTCTTCTTCTCATACGGCCTGCGCCCCTCGGCTGCCAGCTCGACTGCCCTGAGAGAACCAAACTGTGTGCTGCAGCTGACCCAAGTGCGGCCTCTGATGCGACAGCCTCGGCCTCAAATGCGCGTCGGCACCCTCCTCTCCCCTCTCCCTCCTCCCTCGCCCCCTCCCTCCTCCCTCGCCCTCCCCCCTCCCTTCCCCTCTCCCTCCTCTGCCCTCTCCCTCCTCCCCTCTCCCTCCTCCCTCGCCCTCCCCCCTCCCGCCGCCGCCAAGCGCGGCGGCGAAGGGCGACCGACGCGCCGCCGCGGCGCCTCGGCCAGCGAGGCCAGCAGACGCATCCGCTCCAGGGGCGCCTGGAGCCAGCACCACAGGCGCCCCAGCGTCAGCTCCGGAGGCCCCGCGGCCTGCCGTCTCCCGGGCCTCGCTCATCGTCGCCGCCGCCGACGACGACCACTCGCTCCACCCAGGCCCGCCGAGCTGGCGCCCCTCTGCCCCGTGCGGCTCCGCTGCGCCACGCTCTGTGCCCTCCTCCTCCTCCGCCTCCTCCTCCTCCGCCTCCTCCGCCTCCTCCGCCTCCTCCTCCTCGTCCTCCTCGTCCTCCTCCTCCCTCCTCCTCCTCCTCCTCCTCCTCCTCCTCCTCCTCCTCTCCTCCTCCTCCTCCTCCTCCTCCCTCCTCCTCCTCCTCCTCCTCCTCCTCCTGCCTCCTCCTCCTCCTCCTCCTCCTCCTCCTCCTCCTCCTCCTCCTCCTCCTCCTCCTCCTCCTCCTCCTCCTCCTCCTCCTCCTCTTCCTACTCCCCCTCCTCCTCGTCCTCCTCCTCCGCCGCGCGACCGCGCCCCGCTCGATTTTCCTACGCCCCGCGCACGCCGTGGCGCCCCACCGCGGTCGCACCCCCTCTCCTGCCCCGCTTGCCCAGGGTACGGCGAGGGCACCCATGGAGGCCAGGGACGAGGAGAAAGCCCCCGCATCGACGATTGGAAGTACGCTTGAAGGGACGGGGAGGACGACGACCACGACGACGACGACGACGACGACGACGAGGACGAGGACGACGACGACGACGAGGACGAGGACGACGACGACGACGACGATGACGACGACGACGACGAGGACGACGACGACGACGACGACGACGACGACGACGACGACGCTGACGACCACGACGACGACGCCGACGACGACGAGTCCCCCCTTCTGGGACGAGAAAACCTGGATGATACGATTGGGTTATCATACGCTCCAGGAGTTGCGAGGGATCTAATGGCTCGTTTCTGGAGCCCGTACAAAACAATAAGGAACGATTGGAACTCCTGGAACCCCTGACACGTATCATTATTCTGACTTGTTGCTCCTCTGACCTCCCCACGACCTCCCCCTTCCGAACCCTTCCGCGCGGCAGATGCCGCGCAGCGGCAGCCGCCCGCACAGGCGGCCTTGGCGGTCGCGCCGCGGCCGCCCAAAATACACAGGCCGCAGGCAGCCGAAAGGGAGCGGCCTCGCAGCAACAACACAACGACCGACCGGACGGAAGCGCGACCGAACCGAACCTGCTGCGGCGCAGCCGAACAGACCAAACCGTGGACGCCCTTGGTTGAAGGGGCCCCAGGACACACAAATAAATACGCACAAATAAAAAGATTCCCCATACTTTCCCATAGTTTCTAGGTTTCTGTCTTCCCCCCCACTTCCCATATTTTCCCATATTTTCTGGGGAATCGAGGATTCATTGTGTCTGTGTGTTTCTTTTCCCTCCTGACCTTGGTGGTCCTCGTCGTCTGGCTCCTGGGTCATGACGCGGGTCTCTGGCGGCCGCTCGGCACGTTCGGGGGCACCCCCACCGTCCATATTTTCCCATATTTTCTGGAGAATCGACGATTCATTGTGTCTGTGTGTTTCTTCCCCTCCTGATCCTCGTCGCCTGGCTTCTGGGTCGTGACGCGGGTCTCTGGCGGCCGCGCGGCACGTTGTGGAACACACCCTCGGAGAGCCCCGCCGGCGAGGCGCAGCTGCTGGAGCGCAGGCCGAGGCAGGAGCTCCTCCCGGACCCTCCCCAGACAGCCGCTGGCGGTCGTCGTCGTCGTCGTCGTCGTCGTCGTCGTCGTCGTCGTCGTCGTCGTCGTCGTCCTCGTCGTCGTCGTCCTCGTCCTCGTCGTCCTCGTCCTCGTCCTCGTCCTCGTCGTCCTCGTCCTCGTCCTCGTCGGCGCGGTGCGACCTGCTTCAGGTCGAGCATGCCCCCCCTACAGTTCGGGAGCGGCCAAGAGGGGGGTGTCCAAGAGGGGGGGGTGCAAATCATGACCGGCGGCACGTGCGCGGCCCAGTGGGGGGGCCAGGGACGTATGAAAACAAGAAGAGGCGCCATGAGATATGGGGAAATATCATGCCCCCCGCCATGATATCCACCCCCCCTAGTCATCACCCCCCTCTTTTCCGCCCCCGATACAGGCGGATTGTGGACGAGAAATAAAAAAAGAGTCGGACAATCATCCAACAAGTGCAAAAGTGCCCAAAAACTGGAACCATCGCGCGCGCTTTTTTAGGCTTTTTCCTGAAATAATAATAATAATCATAATAATAAGAAGAAGAAGAAGAAGTCGTGCCTCCGGAGGGCCTCTTGGGGACCTCTTTGGGGCCTTCGTGGGGGCATCCGAAGGGCTTCTGGGGGGGTTCTTCTCCGTGCTCCCTCACTTCGCTGTTGGAGGCACCTCTCGGACGCTTCTTGGAGGGGTTTCTCGGGGTCCCTTGGGAGCCTCGTCGGGGCTCATTACAGGGCAGTGTTTAACGCATAGGATTACATTGGATTTTCAAAAGCATAGGATGTTTAATACATGATTACTGTATGGGTAAATTGATGCATGAACTCATCGCTGTCTTTAATACTAAATCCCTGCCTTTGTAATACATGATCCGCACGCGGAGCATGTATTAAAAACGGCACTGTATTGTGGAATCTTCCCGCTGCAGAGGCGCGTGCCCGGCCCAAGGCTTGTCCGGTCCGCGGTCCAAGGTCCCAGGGAGAGAGCTTCCCCAGCAAGCTCCTCCGGGGGGGCGGCCTTGCCACCACGGATCACCTGCCGACAGCCACGGAGACCGAAAACACACACACCCACACACACACACGACACTCGAGAACGGCCGCCAGGCTCGTGGGCCCTCCTCCATCCCGTCCTTACGAATAACCAACACGTCAGGTCGAACAACTATACGTCGGATTCGTGTCGTGCCGACCTCGGCGCTGGCTTCTGACACCGCGGGGATCGTTCAACCTTGGACGATCGGCCATTTTCGAAACGTCCAAATCGTTCCACATCGAACGATTCTGGGTCACCCGCGGCGTTCAACGTTGAACGCCGCTGGCGGGGTCGCCGCCAGTCAACACGACACGAACCTACCGTATCTCTCTTTCGCTCTCCCTCTCTCTCTCTCTCTCTGTCTTTCCCCCGTGTGTCCGTAGCAGGGCAGGACGTTTTGGAAAGGACTGCCTTGCAACTCATATTGTATCCTGAAGCCTGAAGCTGGTACATTAATGAGGGCCAGCCGCTGTCAAAATGGAATCGCCGCCTTGGCACCGCACGCATTCGTAGTAGAAGCTTGCCACACTTAACGGATGGATGCTGGCACTTTCTCAAAATCGGGCCCTCGCCTGAACGGATAGAGGTCGCTCCTTTCAAAATGACGGCCTCCCTTGAGTTTTCTCAATCAGGCTGCAGGCGAGAGAAGGGGAATGGGGGGAGAGAAAGCGAGAGGGAGAGAGAGCGAGACAGAGACAGTGAGAGAGGGTGCCTGGTTTGAGATGAAGGTGAAGAAGGAGGTGGCGAGGAGGCGGGAGGAAAGAGATACGGAGAAAATTGGGAATGAGAACGCACATGCGAAAGAGCTCACAAAAGGGCGGGGACGGATGGAGGGAGTTCCTTCAACCTTCTTGAACTGACCCGGAATGTCGCCTGGCACTTCCTTGAACCTGCCTTGTCGCATTCTTTGTAGCTCGCAATAGAGAGAGCGCCTTCTTCCACAACGGAGCTCCCACCTGGATACCGGGTCCATGGGCGATCGTCTCTCACTCGCGAAGTTCGAGAAAATACTTATTGCATCGTTGGCAAATTATGAATTTACTCTGGTCCGCTTCCTCCTTCTCCTCCTTCTTCCACTCCTCCTCCTCTCTTCTCTCTTCGCTCCTCGCTCTGCTCTCTTCTCTCTTTTCTCGTCGCTCTTCTATGTTCTGTATTCTCTATTCTCCTCCTCCACCTCCTCCTCCTCCTCCTCTTCCTCCTCTGAGTATTTCTCCTTCTGTTCCTCCTCCTCCTCCTCCGCCTCATCCTGCTCCTGCTCCTCCTCCTCCTCCTCCTCCTCCTCCTCCTCCTCCTCCTCCTCCTCCTCCTCCTCCGCCTCCACCTCCGCATCCTCCTCCTTTTTCTCCTCCTCCTCCTCCTCCTCCTCCTCCTCCTCCTCCTCTTCCTCCTCCTGCTTCACCGTCCATTTTCCTGAAAAGAAACTCCTCCACATCGCACTCCCAGACATGTCCATAGGGCGGACCGGACCTTTCCCCTGCGACTCCTCAACATGTATGGCTCTGAGGTCCGAAATCTGCAACAATTTCAATGATGGAGGGCGGGCCGTCTTCGAAATGTGGCTCTCGCCCCAGCGCCGCGCACATCCGTTTGAAATACTGCGACAGCGTAGGATGGCGGGCGGGCCGTTTTCAAAAGGTGGCCCTCGCCTTGGCGCAGCGTACACTCGCTGTAAAGGCTCGCAGCAGCGTCAAGGATGGAGGGCGGGCATTTTGCAACGCGTGGCTCTCGCCGCCGCGCCGCGCACACTCGTGGAACAAGTGCGGCGCAGATCAAAAACGGAGGGAGGATCTCTCTCAAAGTGTGGCTCTCGCCTTAGAACCGCGCACACTCGTCTTAAAGGTTTACAACATGACTCAGGACTCATGGGGTTCGAATCCCACGAACGGCGTTGTGGCACGATTGGGGACTGTCGCGGCGAAACGGTCACATTGATTCGCGTTGCTGAAGTCCCAGGAATGGGTTTGCTGGACCGATTGGGGATTGCCACGACGCAGCAGTCACGCTGATTCTCGGAATCAAAGCACCCAAAAATTGAGGAGTATGTCTTTCATTGCGGCAAGTCCAGCAATGAAGACAGATAATTGCAGGAACCTGCGCAGAAGGAGTTTGGAGGGAGGGTGTATTGCAACATCGGTGACGCATCGAAGGTTGACAATGATCCTAGTCGTCCTTCTCCGCATCTAACTGATCCGCCTCCTAGTTCGTCCTCCTCCTCTTCATACGTACGCCTCTTCCACCTCCGCCTTCGCCTCCTCATCATCTGTTTCTTCTTCCTCCTCCTCATACTCCTCCTCCTCCTCCTCCTCCTCCTCCTCATCATCATCATCATCATCATCATCATCATCACCATCATCAGCATCCTCCTCCTCCTCCTTCTCCTCCTTCTCCTCCTCCTTCTCCTCCTTCTCCTCCTCCTCCTCATCCTCCTCCTCTGGTTCTTCCTCCTCCTCATCCTCCTCCGCCTCCTCACCATCCTCCTCCTTCTCCTCCGCCTCCTCCGCATCCTCCTCCGCCTCCGCCTCCGCCTCCTCCTCCTCCTCCTCCTCCTCCTCCTCCTCCTCCTCCTCCTCCTCCTCCTCCTCTGCCTCCTCTCTCCTCCTCGACCCCTACAAGGCGCCCTCCCTCCAAACGCTCAAGCGCGCCCCCCGTTCACGCCCAGCCCCGCCCCGCCGCTGGCACGGCGTCCGCCTTGGCCATCAGCAGGGCCAGCACCTGGCAGCAGGGGCCCAGAAAGCGACGAGAAGGCAGAGGAGTTTTCGTTTGGCGAACGCCCTGCCAGCCACCAGCCTTCCCCCCTTGATGGGAACACGACCCACCCGCATCGGCTCCTCTGGCTGCCAGCCACGCTCGAAACTGGACCCGTACTCCGCCGCTTCGGCGAGAGGACGCGCGCACTCCCCACGGAGCTCCCTGAACTGTCCAAGGGCGCTGGATACTGCTACAGCGCGTGCAGATCATTCATGCATGATCGCCAGCGCACTCCACAGCAGGGCACGAGCGGGCCACGAGCAGACACGGCACGAGCCACCGACCGAAGACAGATTCTCCGCAAACCCCGCAGCTGAAGGTCGAGAGGCGGGCCTGCGAAACCTCGGGCACGTGCTGCACCGCCAGGAAGTCTTTGAAGGGGCCCAAGGACACACAAATAGAATAATTCCCCATATTTTCTCATATGCTCTGGGTTTTTGTCTTCCCCCCCACTTCCCATATTTTCCCATATTTTCTGGGGAATCGACGATTAACTGTGTCTGTGTGTGTTCTTTCCCTCCTGAGTCTTGCACCACACCCACTGGTGCTCCCACGCGGGGCCTCACCACCGACCCTGGCTGGTCGCGGACGGGGGGCAACACCTGCAACACCTGGCACGTCGTTCAGATCGAGGCGCGGCCAAGAAGGGAGAAGGCTGGCCGCTAAGTGTGAAACACTGCGGGATACCGTTAGCTGCCAATCGAGACAGTGCGACTTGGCGGCCGAGGCCTGAGGGTGCAATTCGGCCCCTAGCTTGGCTGCACGATCAGCCTCGTCATTTCCAACTTTCAGGAACCACCCTTTGGGGGAACGGTCCGCCCGAGTTGGTCACACAGGCCTTCATTTTCGCAACTCGGAGGCCTTGTGACCCCAAGGATTTGATCACGAGGCCTGAGTAGGGAGGGCTTTTCGCTGTTAGGTACGAAAGCCTCTTTGACCGGCCGAGCTTCCAGACCTTACCAACAACTATCGAGACAGTCGAAGTACCCCGCTGCTGGGGCCGTCAAGCACAGGCTAGAGTTCGCAAGAGCTCCACGCTCTGAGGCCTGGAAAGGTATCGGACGTGGCCTAACCGACCCCTAGCAAACCATCCCCTCCTGTGGCGTCGTCCTCGCCTCTCAAGCTCCCCTCCCGCCGCATACACACGTCTGGGGGCGAGGCGGCGTCACGGAAGGGGATGGCTTGCCAGGGGTCGTTCAAGCCGCCCCCGGAGGTGGGGGGAAACGATCCCAGGGGGCGGGGCACCACACACAGCGCTCAGGCTGCTGCACCGGGAGAAGACAGATGGCACTGGTACTCTATGGAAAAATACCCCCGAAATACCCCCAAAAGGTCAAACACTACTCAAAAAATAGTCCCCAGACTAGTTTTGGACTATTTTGGGATATGTTTGGGGTATTTCTTATTTTTCGTCGAAAATCCCCCTGTAGGGGGACAGGTCCGACTCAACACTGGGCAACTGTGGCCGACTCTGGAAACCCTGCATCAAAAAACGTTGCCATCTCTTGGGAGGTCGGCTCTCGTCCCCGCCGGCCTCTGCCGGCGGAGGCGGCCTCGCCATGCCTCCGCCGACCTCCCGCCGCCATCTTCCGCCGCCCTTCCGCCGCTTTTGCCGCCGAGGAGGAGATGGCAACTCTTTCGGTCCTCGAAGACGAGGCCCGTTGTTAGGGAGCCAACCAAAGGACGTACGCGCCCAGCTATGTACATGAACACGGCCCCTTGACCCGCGAGCCCTGCCGCGCGATGCGAACATTCGTTCAGTGCGAACTCTCGAAACCAGCGTGGATTCGTGTACATGTACGTCCTTCTTTCGCTCCTGAGTTTTGGCACACCTCCTGTACTGTTTGACCCCACAATGCCTCGCCGAAACATTGCGGTGCGCGCCGCTGTCAAGACCGATCCATGAAAACCGTAGCCCCAGAGGAGAGTTGACCGTCGTCGCCCTCAGGAGGGCCTTCCCGGACAAAACTTCGGGTGCCAACCCAGCATCGGGTCGGGGATGCAAAGTTCCAGGATGGACAAGCATACATTTCTGGTGAACAAGATCGAGTCTACCACGGAGCAGGAGGCGGGGTCGACCCTGCTGGATGCTCTGAGGGCGTCCTCGTCACAGAGTTCCTGTCTGAGTTACGCGCCCCCTGGGCAAACCCACAGCAGGAGGGAGCGGGGAGGGAGTTGAGCAGGAGGAGGAAGGAGGAGAACAGGGAGGAGGACTAATGACTACGGACTGGCCTGCATCCACAAGGGGACAGGTCCAGAAGAAGAGAGAGGGGTGAGGGGGTGATGGGAGAGAAGGCGTTTGCGTGGCCCAGTGGGTTTTGTATGGCCCAGCGTGCTCCAAAGTCTGTAAATCGTCGAGTACGGCAGACGGGGAAGTCTCGGTTGCAGGCAAGAGGCAAGCGCCCTCTGAAGAGTCTCTTGGGGCCTCTGAAGAGCTTCTGGGAGCCGCTGGAAAGCTTCATGGGGCCTCTGAAGAGCTTCTTGGGGAGATGATGGATGTGATGGTAACAGGAGGAAGAGGAGGATGAGGATGATGTTGACAGGTATGTTCATGAGGACGACTGCGATTGAGATCAAGCTGCCTGCAGCAAGTGCGCCACCGTGCCAGCCTAGCGTTCTAAGTGGCGGCTGTTCGAGGATGATGATGAAGATGACGACGATGACGACGACAACGTTGATGATGCTGATGATGATGACGATGATGCTGTTGGTGACGATTATGGTGGTGATGACGCTACGATGATGCTGATGATGATGATGATGATGATGATGATGATGATGACGATTATGATGAACCCCCATCGGCAGACGGCGTGCGTCGCACAGCTCCCACTCCATGATGATGACGACGACGACGATGCTGATGATGCTGATGATGATGATGATAACGATGGTGATGCTGGTGGTGGTGGTCGTGATGTTGTTGCTAATGATGGTGATGATGACAATGAGGAGGAGACGGAAGGGAGTCGTCACATATGACACCTTTCGTCTTCGCTGTTCGGCAAGCCCTCATTGACCTTGTTTCAGCTGCCTTGGGGTTGTATTGGGCTTCTGTGGGGCAGTCTTGGGGCTCCCTGGGGGCCTGCTTGGGTCGTCTTGGGGCCCTCTTGGGCCGTCTTGGGGCTCTGTTCCGAAGCCGCCCCTCCCACCCTGACCAGGGAGGGGTGCGTAGGGCTAGCTTCAAGCGGGGGCCTGGCCTCCCAGTCGTTCAGATCCTCCAGTCTATCAGGACGGCTCCCAGCCTCGATCAGATGCCCTGGTGCTACTCGGATCGCCGTCCTGTAGGGTCGGGGAGGGGCTCGGGAGGGCGGAGCACGAGGATACAGCAGGAGGGGGCGGAGGCAGGAGGACGGAGCCGCCGGCGTGGAGGAGGACCACGGGCAGCCGCTGGCTGCAAGACAGACGTCCAGGTCCGGGTCTCGGCAGCAGGACCTCGGAGCGCGCCCGCCGCGCCCCCGCATCTCCAGGTTGATGGGTAGGTGGCCACAAGCGAACCCTACCCCTACCCCCCATGATTTCTGAGGTGGGGTTCACTTCGCTCGGGAGCTCCCGAGCGAAGTGAACCCAACCCTCCCCCTCAAAAATCGCGGGGGGTAGGGGTAGGGTTCGCTTGTGGCCCCCGAATGGGGAAGCGGTGGGCCCCTCGCCAGCGGGCGTCTGCTGCGCAAAAAACGTCGAGCTCCCCCTGCCGGCGCGGTCGGCCGCCGACTTTTGTGGTGCGGGGAGTCGGGGGCCCAAGTGGCCTCCAATACAGTCCCAAGAGGGCCCCAAGACGACCCAAGAGGCCTCCAACACGCCCAAGAAGGCCTCCCAGACGACCCCGAAGCGTCCCGAGCGGGGCCCATGTCGGCCCAGAAAGGCCCCCAAGACGGCTCCCGACGGCGTCAGACGTGCCAGGAACCCACCAAGATGGCCGAAGTTGGCTCGAAGCTGGCCCAAGACGGCCCAAGAGGTCCCCAAGAGGGCCTCGGCAACGAACCGAGGTGATCGCCGTGCACCAGGCGACGCATCGGCCACCACGCGTGGGAAGAGACGAGGCCAGGAGGACATTAGGAACAAGCTCACCAATAGCGCGCCCAATCGCGCGCAAAGCAAACATAATCTGGGCGTAGGTTGTCTAACGATGTCTTTCTTCCCTTTTCCGAAAACCCTGTTCCCCTGCGGGGAAGGGTTTATCACTGTTCCCGATTAATATACACCCCCTCCCCGAGGCGACTGGAAACCAACCAAGGTCCATGCGCCCCCCCCACCCCTTTCAAAAAAAAACAATACAAAACACACTGCCCCCACCATCCCTTGTAAAAAACAATACAAACACACACACACACACACACACACACACACACACACTCTGCCACAAAATTCGGAGCATGCGCAGCGAACCCGATGCGGCCTCCTCCCACCATCCCTGTCAAAAAACAATACAAATTACAATTGGCGGCGGCGGCGGCGGCGGCGGCGGCTGCGGCGGCTGCGGCGGGGGAAGCGGATGCGCCTTCTGCGGCGGTGGCGGTGGCAGCGGCGGCGGCGGCGGGGGCGGCGGCGGCGGCGGCGGCGGCGGCGGCGGCAGCGGCGGCGGCGATTCGGCAGCGGCGGCGGCGGCGGCGGCGGCGGCGGCGGCGGGCGGCGCGGTGGCGGCCGGCGGCGGCGCGGCGGCGCGGCGGCGGCGCGGCGGTGGCGGGGGCGGGCGGCGGCGGCGGCGACGGCGGCAGATGCGCCCCCAGTAGCTGCCCATTAAAAAAGAACTGCTGCATATGCTGCGGCTCGGGCCAGGCTCGGGTGCTACGTATGCGTCGGGAGGGCGGGTGGGAGTGAGCGAGACGGCTTGCGGGCGGGGAGGGGGACTCTTGACCCCTCCCCCCACCCCCTCCCCTGGACTTTTTGGGGGGGTGTCGCGGGTGGTCGGAGGGCCCTTTTTCGGCCCCTGGGAGGGCCAAATTTTGACACCGCTCACGAGGATCGTGGCCCACGAGTGGGGAGCCTCGATCGGGACCCCTCCCTCACGAGGATCGGTGGCCCCAAGAGGCGCTCCAGGGCTCCCAAAAGAGCCCCAAGAGAGCCCCAAGAGGGCTCCAAGAGGGTCCCGAGAGGGCCCCAAGAGGCACCCGAGAGGCCCCCAGAGGGCCCCCGAGCGACCTCAGAGAGCCCAAGATGACCTCCAAGATGGCTCAGATAGCCCAAGCTGGCTCAAGATGGCTCCCAAGATGCTCCAAACGGCCCCAAGACCGCTCCAAGAGTGCCCGAGAGCGCTCCAAGAGAGCCCAAAGAAGCGGGTTGCCGGTTCCTGAGGGGGGAGCTGAGTTGGGGACCCCCCCATCCTGTAATAGATGGCCTCTAAGATGATCCCAAGAAGCCTTCCAGGATTACCAAGAGGGTCCCAAGAGGGCCCCAAAAACTCCCAGAGAGCACCGGCAGCAGCAGCAGCAGCAGCAACCGCAAGAATACCTCTAGATGGTTCCATGAGTCCTCGTCCGCGTCGTCCTCATCCTAGTCCTCGTCCTCCTCATCCTCGTCCTCATCCGCGTCATCGTCCTCCTCTTACTCCTAGTCCTCCTCCTCCTCCACCCAGGGATGGCCTGAAGAGGGCTTCCAAGGCCACCCCCTTGCTCCCAGAGATCTCTCGGTTCACCCTGGTTGCTCGCTTTGTTTCCCTAGATATGTCTCTTCGTCCCTTTTTCCCGTGAGCTCTCATGGGCAGGGCTTATGAAAGGGCTGGTGGGGATACTTTGTTGTTCGCGAGCGCGCCAGGATGCTGGGCGCCGTCAAGAAATGCGTCGAATTAGCAACGGCCTAAATTCCGCGGCACGACGCTGGTGGGTATACTTTTTGTTTTGGTCGGCGGCTCCGAGGCAGCGGTCAGGGAGCGGAAGGCGTCGTCTGGGCCAGCAGGCGAGGCTAATTAGCTACAACAAGCAACGCACCTGCAGTAGCTGGTAGGTATACGCGAAGCGTGAAGAATGCATTTTCCTCGCATGGCGCTACTGGGCGCTGCTGGGCCCTGTTTGAACGCTATCCAACGCTACATGGTGCTACGCGCCGATAACATTCGGTCCAGGACGAGCAGAAACCTCCGTGATTTGCTACCTGAAGGCCGGAGCAGGCGCGCAAGCGGGCAGCCGCACGTTAAAAGCCTGCCCCGGCAAGGTCAAAATCTCAGGAGGGGGGGCAGGGAAGGGCAGGACAGCCCAGAACCGAATCGACAAGCCAGATCGGCGATCGGCATGAATCGCATCGACGGACATCGGCAGCCGAGTCGGGAAAAGTCGAGTCGGCAGACATCGGCAGGCTGGCAGGCCTCCGCCGAGATGTCGGACCCCACGTCGGCATCCGAAACCGAATCGAGTCGAACCGGAGACGGAGGCCGCCGACATCGAAGCCGGAATCGGGTCGGCGGCATCGAGACGAGCCCTGGGAAGGGGTGGGGGGAGGAGGAGGAGGAGGAGGAGGAGGAGGAGGAGGAGGAGGAGGAGGAGGAGGAGGAGGAGGGCGAGGAGGAGGAGGAGGAGGAAAGGGGCACGGCGCTGGTTGGGGGCTCGGGGATCGAGAGCGGGCACGGGCGCAGCGAGCCAAGCCGACAGGCCGCAGGGGGGCACCGAGGCCCGTCGGGCCGGAGGGAGGAGGCACGAAGTGGAGGGCAGGGATCGACCCAAACAGTGCTCCTCGTTGTCGTCTTGCGTTCCTGTTGGCCCTCGTGCTGTCTTCGGCCCGCCCCTGCTGCAAAAATCGAGATCGGGACGGAAAAACCGGCCCACGGAATGGCCAGAGCACCGTTTGGGTCGACCCCTGGAGCGCAGGGAAGTCCAATGGCGGCCTTTTGGTAGTCCCGCAGCTGGTGCCGCAGCGCTTCGCCGAGCGCCTCTCGGGGCCCGCGGGAGGAGGCAGGAGGCCATGCTCAGCCCAGCCCTCCCTTGCCCTGCCCATCTAAAGGGGCCCCAGGACACACCAATAAATACACACGAATCAAATGGTTCCCCATGGTTTCGCATATGCTTGGGGTTTTCGTTTTGCCCCTCACTTCCCGTATTTTCCAATATTTTCTGGGGAATCGAAGATTGATTGTGTTTGTGTGTGTTTCCCTCCTGACCATCTTCCTCCATCCTCCATTGCCCTTTTAAAAAAACAAACAAAAAAAAAAAAAAAAAAAAAAAAAATCCTCCGTGTCGCGCCCCCTGACGTGTCGATAGGGCGGGCTGAGCGTTTCGCCTGGGATTTACTCACCACGCATGATCCTGAGGCTTGAAACTGGCACAGCTTCACGCATGGGGGGCGGGCCCTCTTCAAAATGCAGCCGTCGCCTCCTAGCGGCACGCACATTCGTCTTGAAACTTCGCGGCAACTTCACGGATGGAGGGCGGTTTGTTTTCAAATGTGGCTCTCCCCTTAGCGCCGCGCATATTCTGAAAGTGTGCAACAGTTCCACGGATGGAAGACGCGGCCTTTGCAAAATCTGGCTCTCGCCTCAGCGCCACGTCCATTCGCCTTCAAAGCGCACAAAGGTTTCACCGATGAGGGCGGTTGGCTCTCGCCCGCAATGCGCACGGCGCTGAGGCGAGAAAGCTTGCAACAGATTCAAGGACTCGTACGGCTGAAATCCGCCGACCCTGTCGGCGTGTGTGATGGGCTTCTCCGTTCGACTCGTCGTCTCCGTCGTCTCCGCTCTCCCCCTCCCAGGGCTCTCCTCCTCAAGCGCGCTATCCAGAGCGAAATTAAACGACGGCGTAGTGGAGTCGAAAGGAAGCCCCTACCCTTCGATCCCTTACCCGCAAGGGGGGGGGAGGGGGGGGGGGGGCCGGGGCAGATACGACGCCCGTCGGGGCGCACTTTCCTCGAGCGGGCACGCACGGGATGCACTTCCTCCTCCTCCTGGTCCTCCTCCTCCTCCTCCTTTTCCTCCTCCTCCTCCTGCTCCTCTCCTCCTCCTCCTCCTCCTCCTCCTCCTCCTCCTCCTCCTCCTCCTCCTCCTCCTCCTCCTCCTCCTCATCCTCCTCCTCCTCCTTCTCCCGCAGAGGCGTCCCGGGAGCGGGCCCCGAGTCAAAATACCACCCCCCTAGGGCGCATTTTCCTCGAGCGGGCACGCCCGAGATGCACTTCTTCCTCTCCGGAGCACGTCCCAAGTCAGAATATCACACTCCCGGGCGCACTGTCTTCGAGCGGCACAAAAATGCACTTCCTCCTCTTTCCTCCTCCTCCTCCTCCTCCTCCTCCTCCTCCTCCTCCTCCTCCTCCTCCTCCTTCCTCCTCCTCTCCTCCTCCTCCTCCTCTCCTCCCTCCTCCTCCTCCTCCTCCTCTTCCTCCTCCTCCTCATCCTCCTCCTTCTCCTCCTGCTCCTCCTCCTCCTCCTCCTCCTCCTCTTCCTCCTCCTCCTCCTCAGTGTCCTCAGTGTCCTACCAAAACGTAGTCCAGCAAAACCAGCCGAACTAGCTTAACCTACTGCCGAGCAGGACCGACCTCGAAGTAGGAAGCCTATGCCTCCTCGACCTCGGGTCCCGACGAATTCCCCCCCTCGTCGGGCCCTTCGTTGGGCCCTCGGCCGAACGGGGCTCCGAAGAGGGGGGAAGGGAGCCCCCAGAACCTGTTGGACTGGGGCTCCCGTCCAGACCTCAGTCGTCCCAACGCCGTTCTAGCCAGACGGGCCGCCGACCGAGGACGGGAGGTGAAGGGACGGCAGGGACGACAGAGGTCGTGGACCTGTCTTCTGGCATAGGCCCCGCAGACTCTACAGAAGACGATCAGCCCCCTCCCATTAGCCTCATCGCCAGACCCCCGACCCCGATCCCCACGCACGACCCAGAGCTTATGGGAGGGGTGGGCGATCGCCGCGGGCCGAGGCATTCCAGGGCAGGGAGTCGAAACGATCATCCTCATCCTCATCCTCATCCTCCGCTTCCTCCCCTCACTCCTAGCCCTTTCGATCAGGGTCGGCGGCACCGGCCGTCAGGCCTCTCCAATAGTCAGCGTTTTCATATTCGGCGTTTCGACATTGGGCGGAAGAGGGAGAGTGAGGAGGGAGTCTGACTCTGGACCTCTGCTTAACGCAACAACTTGCAACATGCGTCCTATGGGGGAGACTCCGCCTGCTCGGCTCGAAACAGGCGCCAAAAACAGCCAAGATCTACTCTTATGGGGGGGAGGGGGTGCGAGGGCCCGCGCCGATCGGCAAAACAATGAGCAAGAAAACGATCCCATACCAGGAATGGTGTTTGGTCACGATTTTCGCCATGGCGCAACAATCATGTTGATCCGCGGTGCTGAAGTCCCCAGAGCGGTGTTCCAGCACGATCTGGGATTGCCAGAGCGCAGCAGTCACAAATGGTACGCGGCGCCGACGCCTCAGGAATTGTGCTTCCACACCATCGAGAACTCTCCGTCGGCTGTCTTCCAAATGGGGCACTTCCCGCAATGAAAACAAATTGTTAAGGGCGCCTGTGAATAGGAAACTTGAAGAGAGGGTGTGTTGCAACATTGTTGGTCCTGGAATTGAGTTATATGTTTGGTAGAAGATGAATATTGGATTGGAAACTGGTCCTCCTCCTCTTCCTCGTCCACCACCTCCTCGTTCTCCACCCCCTTCTCATAATCCTTATCCTCCGTGTGATTATGCTCTTCATCATCATCATCATCATCATCATCATCATCATCATCATTATCAGCAGCATCCCCCTCCCTCATAATGCGAATCATCCTCATCATCCGAAGTAACATCATCATCATCAACAACAACAACAACATCGTCGTAATCATACATATCAAAATGGGCATCAAACTCGTCATCGTCACCGTCATCATCATCATCATCATCATCATCATCAGCAGCAGCATGATCACAGCTATCAGCATCAGCATCATCGTCATCAGGATCCGTATAGTCAACAACATAATCATCATCACCAGCATCATCATGCGCACCCGAATCAGCATCGTCAAAACCATGCCCATCATCATCATCAGCAGCAGCATTAACATCATCATCAGCAGCAGCATCATCATAATCAACATCATCATCATCATCCTCATCATCATCATCACCATCATCATCGTCGTGATCATCATAATCAGAATCAGCATCATCAACAGCATCATCGTCAACAGCATCATTAACATGATCAACCTCATCGTCGTCGTAATCAGAATAGCAGTCGTAATCATAATCATAATCAACGTCCTCCCCCTCCTCCTCCTCCTCCTCCTCCTCCTCCTCCTCCTCCTCCTCCCCTCCCCCCGCCCCCTCTTCCTACAACATTCCCCTCACTAGGTATCCGGAGGTCCCTACCCTGGATGTCTCCAGAGGCCGCCAGAGTCGCAAAAGTTGCCCAGACTGCCTCGGTCCTCGACCACCCTTCCTCCTGGACCCCGGACTCCCGGTGCATGGAGCGCCGGCCCCGTCGAGGACCTGGAGCGCCGACCCCTTGCAGGGACAGGCTCTTCGCCACGGATCGCTCCAAGAGAAAAACAAGAAAAAAAAACTGCCCCCAGAGTCCCGAGAACGGCGAAAAGCCTTCGCCTTGATCCTGTTCCAGACACTGGAGGGTCTGGGGCCTCTTCCTGACAATCGGACCCCAGACCTCTCCTCGGGGTGCACTTCGAGGAGAAAATGTAAGGAATCTGGCCTTGAAGACGACGCAGCCTCCCAGAGGCTCCCGAAAAAGAGGCAACACGCACGAAAACATCTGACCTCGAAACTCTCCCTTCTCCCAGAGGAAGACCAGAGCGTGCAAAAGGGGAGGCAGCTAAATGGTTCGAGAGCTACCTGCATGCAGCTCGTCTTCCTGCCGCCCCCGGCGCCGGAGACGACAGTGCATCCAGGAAAGTGCTTAGCGCCGGGGCGAAAAGCAGCCGCACGCAGCAGCTTTCGCACCGCCCCCCTCCACGCCCTTTCCCAACCCACACCTGTCGTTCACATCACTTCGGCATCGGGTTCTCGCTTCAGGTCATAATGTTGTCTCGTCCGCTGCCAGCTTTAAGTCGGGCGCGTTCCCCTACAGAGGGATTTTGGACGAAAAATACAAGATACCCAAAAAAAAACGAAATGCTCAAAAATTATATTTTTATATGTTATGTATATGTGTATATGTTTATCATCTCCAGGCTATTTGGGAGTATCTTTGAAGCTTCCTCCTCTGGAGGGACAGGACCGACTTACGTAATACCAGCTGGGTCCTTCCACGCTCTGTGGTGCCCTTTGTCGCGCGCCGGCGCGCCCGGCACCGAGTGGCGCGGCAGCGCCGTCCACGCCCTGGGAGGATGCGCCTCGAGAGAGAGAGAGAGAAGCTCGTGCTGTCCTTGGAGCTCGCTGGGAGCCTCCTCCTCCTGCTCCTCCTCCTCCTCCTCCTGCTCCGCCTCCTCCTCCCCCTCCTCCTCCTCCTCCTCCTCCTCCCCCTCCTCCTCCTCCTCCTCCTCCTCCTCCTCCTCCGCCTCCTCCTCCTCGGAAGAGTCTACTCACAAAGTGCATGTGTTGCGCAGACTCTTCCTTCCAAAACCGAGAGGAGGCGTCAGCCTCGAAGAGCCCGGCGCTCCTCGACCCGCCTCCCTCCCTCTTGAAGGAAGGCCCCCCCGTCCCCCGTGGGGGCGCATCCGAGCGCGCGGGGCGGCAGAGGAGACCCCCAAAACAGCCGCAGGGCACTCCACCCTCGATCCTCCCCCTCCTGCTCGTCCTCTTCCTCCCTCCTCCTCCTGATCCTCCCCCCCCCCATGCTCCTCTCCCTCTTCCTTCTCATCCTCATCCTCCCCCTCCTCCTCGTCATTCGCATGCTCATCCTCATCCGCAGTCTCATCCTCAGGCTCCTCCGTTTCATACTTTTCTCCCTCCTCCTCCACCTGCTCCTCCTCCTCCTGCTGCTCCTCCCCAATTTTCTCCCCCACACTGGGGACCGCATCGTATCGACGATCCGTCGAATACGATTAGTACTTCAAGGGCAAGGGGGCAAGGCCCACAGCTCCCACAGTTGTGGCTGGTCTGCCTCTCCCCCGATGACAGCCTGGTCCAGGAGAAGCAGGAGGAGGAGCATGGAGGAGCATGGAGGAGGAAGGAATGATAAGAAAAGAAGAAAGATCGAGGAGGGAGAGAGAGGAGAGAAGGGAGGCAGAAGGAGAGGGCGGAAGCAAGAAAAGGAGGGAGGAGGGAGGCAGGAGGAAGAAGAGCACCTCCTCCTGCCTGATGCAGCCTGCTTCCCTCCCTCCCTCTCGGGGGCGACGATGGGGGCGAATAGCCCAGGAGCGGACCTGACAAGTTTTGGCCCGGGAGCCTCGCTGAAGGCATGTAACATCGGCACCCTTGGATACTCGCTATCCTCCTCCTCCTCCTCCTCCTCCTCCTCCTCCCTCCTCCTCCTCCTCCTCCTCTCCTCCTCCTCCTCCTCCTTTGCCTCCTCTTCCTCCTCCGCCTCCTCCTCGTCCTCCTCCTCCTCGTCCTCCTCCTCCTCCTTTCTCCCCCTCCCCCTCCTCCTCCTCGTCCTCCTCCTCCTCCTCCTCCTCCTCCTCCTCCTCCTCCTCCTCCTCCTCCTCCTCCGCCCCCTCCTCCTCCTCATCCTCGTCCTCCCTGGGCTATTTGCCTCTATCGTCGCCTCCCTCCCTCCCTCCCTTCGCATCCCACCCCCCGCGCAGGCCTGGTGCAGGAGACTCTGGTGCGCTGCACCGTCCAGCGCCGCGTCGGCCGCGGCGGCAAGCCGGGCGCGCAGGCTTTCGGGGCGCGGGCGTCGATCGACGACGACGGCGACGACGATGACGATGACGACTACGACGACGGCGACGGCGACGGCGACGGCGACGACGGCGACGACAGCGACGACGACGCTGACGCTAACGACGACGACGACGACGACGACGGCGACGACGACGGCGACGGCGACGGCGACGGCGACGACGATGACGGCGACGACGACGACGACGGCGACGGCGACGGCGACGGCGACGGCGACGGCGACGGCGACGGCGACTACGACGGCGACGACGACGACGACGACGACGGCGACGACGACGACGACGGCGACGACGACCACGGCGGCGGCGGCGGCTGCCGCGGCAATCATCGAAGGCTGGGACGCTTCCGGGCCGTTCCGGGCATCTCAGGGGCGCCCTCGCCTCCGCGGCGGCGTGGTGGGCCGCAAAAAATCCCGGCGAGCGCGCAAAACCCAGGAGACGACGACGACGACGACGACGACGACGACGATGACGACGACGACGACGACGACGACGACGACGATGACGACGACAGCGGCGGCGGCAGCGTGCCAGGCCTCGCGAGCTCCAGCACCTTCTGGGCCAGGCACCACGCGGGGCGCGACAGCGTGCAGGAGGGGCTCACGTCGAAGCGCCCCTCGGCCCTGCCGGCGCGGTCCTCCTCCTGATTGCTGCCCACGCTCTCCGTCATCCTTCGTCATCCGTCTCGTTTTCCCTTCTTCTCCTCTTCATCATCATGACCATCAGAATTTTCATCAACAACATTCCCCACACCAATGTCATCAGCATCATCGTCCTCATCGTCATCGGCAGCAGCATCATACTATGATCGGCATCATCAGTTTGAGACTGTTCGCTCTGAACCGAACGCGTGCCATTCAATACGTATATCACAAACCCTCGATGCCCGGCCTCTTCGTATTCGATCGCACCCCCATTAGGGATGTATCTGTCTCAGTCTCACCTGCAACGTGTATTTCGCGCAGCCCCTAAGGCAGGGAAAGAGAAAATGAATGGAAGGAAGGGACATGGGAGAGGGAGGAGGATGGAGCACGAGACGGGGTAGCAGGAGGGGGGCTAGGAGCAGAAAACACGTGGCAGAACCAGACGGGCAGATCGGGCGGGTAGACACCAACGGGCGGGCCGGGGAGGCGGGCCGAGGCGGTCAAGTCGAGCAGGCGTTTTGCTGAAGCGTGCGTCCTGCATGAATGGCGAGGAAGTCTCGAGCAATAGCAAGATTCCCAAACAAATCGCGCGGAAACCCATAGCGAAAGCGTGTTTCCTGAATGTCGAGGGCGTGGCGTCTGAACACATTGCAAGGAAGTCCCACGCGAGAGCGCGATTCATGCAGAAATTGAAAGGGCGTCTCACGCGAGAGCGCGATTAGAGGTACGGTTTGGTGGCCCCTCGCTTACCGTTGTGGAAAAAAGGGTGCGAGCCCCGGGAGAAGCACTTTAATCAAAAAATACAATGGTTACTGAAGGGGGATCAACAATAATTATTCCTGAGCAATGAGAACTAAAGAAGCACAACAACAACAACAACAACAACAACAACAATCACTTTACCCGAACGCTCAGTGTTCTCACCAGTGCCAGGGTTTTCATGCGACGCCAGCCAATACCCCCACTTTGTGGGGGGGCAGTGCAAGCTCTACCAAATATCCACACGACTCTTCGCCACCACCCACACCCAGCTTCCCGCCCTATGACGTTCGGACACTTCACTTCGTGGCCTGCGGACGACCGTGGCTACTACACTGGCGTGGAGTACACACCCACAGAAGTTGTTAGGACAGCGCGCGCGGGTAGAAATTTTGAAAAGTCGTGCAGGTGTTTTTCGAGGACCTACGGTGCGATTCGTGTGATTTTATGATGCGCGGTGCTAAAATTCTTAAGACGCCCAATGGTTTTTGGAGATTTCGGCGTGCGCGCGCGAAGAAAAAACGAATGTGTCCCGCATGGTATTATTTGACAGGGATGATGGCCCTGGCAGGTGCGCAACCGTTGTCGCAGAAGTTCGAAAAAGTTGCTCGCAAAAGCCCGTTTGACAGAAATGTTTAAAAAGTGTTGGGTTTCCTACGAATCCGCAAGAGCGCGCGGGATGAAATTTGACATTTTTTTTTGAAAAACCATTGGTTTTTTGATGTTTTTATGTTAAAATCGCTACGAAAACTAAGGTTTTGGAAGGATTTCGTCTTGCGCGCGCGAATGTCCACTTTACCTTATTTTTTTGCAAGGGATTCTTGAAATTTGATTATATTAGAACAAGAAATGTCATTTTATAGTGTTTTTTGCAAGGGAAAGCGGGGGGGAACAAAACAACCGATCTTGATCACATCGAATTACCTGAGGCTTCCTCACGAAAATGATGAAAATGTAGCTGCGGCCTAGGCGGCGCAGGGGGGGCGTGCACCAGGGGGCCCAACAATAATTATTCTTTAGAATTAATAATGTTCAACAACAACAACCATTTTAAGGCTGTACGCTCTTACTTGCCCGCGAGTCATTCAACACGTATACCCTACACCCTCGATACCCGCCCTCTTCGTCTTCGATCACACCCCTTTCGGGGGGATTATTTCTCTTTGCTGGGGCCGGCGGGCTTAGACGTACGGGCAAACCGGAACGGGCGGACAATCCTTCGGGGGCGTACATCTCTCTGCCCGCCATTGGAATTGGCGCGGGCCCTGCAAGAGGAGGAGGGGAAGAACGAGGGAGAGTGGGAGGAAGGGGAGGGGGAAGGACGAAGGAAGAGGGAATATACCACGTTGTGAAGGCGTCCTTGGCGCGCGCGTGGTTCCTGAGCGCCGAAACGCAATTCCAGAATACTTTGTGAGGACGTCGCACGCGAGAGCGCAGTCCTGAGTACATTGTGAGGAAATCTCGGGCGGAAGCGGGGGCCCTGACTAAGTTGCGAGGAAGTCTCGAGCGGGAGCGCTGTTCCTGAGCAAATTGCACGGAAGTCTAAGGCGGGAGCAGGGGTTCTCACTAAATTGCGAGGAAGTCTCAGGCGGGAGCGCCGTTCCTGAGTCAATTGCGCGGATATGTCAGGCAGGAGCGGGGGTCCTGAGTAAAATTCGAAGAAGTCTCAAGCGGGAGCGCCGTTCCCATGTAAATTGCACGGAGGTCTCAGGCGGGAGCGGGGGTCTTGATTACATTGCGAGGAAGTCTCAGACGGGAGCGCCTTTCCTGAGTAAATTTCGCGGAAGTCTCAGGCGGGAGCGGGGGTCCTGAGTAAAAACCAAGGAAGTCTCAGGCGGGAGCCGTTGTTGTTGTAGCCCCGGGGGCAGGGGCACAGTTTGAGCAGGAAGACTTTCCTTGAGAAAAAACAAGGTGCGAGCCCTGGGGGTGGCACTTCAATCGAAAAAAATCAATGTGCACCCTTGTGGGTCTCTAGGCGTGTGAGATAGTTCCCCCCCCCATAATCCCCCCCCCAGGGACCCCAAACCGGAGATTTAACCCCCCCCCCGGGCCCACCACGAGCGCGTCACGGAGCTCTTTTGGGCCCAAAAGGGGATCAAGACGGGCCCAGAAGGCTCCAAGAGGCCTCCAAGACGGCCCACGAGGGCCCCGAGACGCCAAACGAGCGCTCCCACACGCCCAAGATGGCCCCAAGACGAGCCCAGAGGCCTCCAAGACGGCCCAAGAGGTCCCCACGAGGCCCCAAGAGGCCTCCAAGATGCGCCCCAAGAGGGTCCCTACATACAAAAATTGGCCCATTCCCTTCGTAAAACGTATAATTTTCACAAATTCGCTTTCTGGGCTTTCCGACGCTCCAAGACGGCCCAAGAGGCCCCGAAGACCGCCCCAAGACGGCCCAAGAAACCTCCAAGAGGGCCCCAAGATAGCCCAAGAGGGCCCCAAGACGGCCCAACAAGCGTCCAAGACGGCCCAACAGGGCCCCGAAAAGGGCCCCAAGAGCGCTCCAGGAGCGCCCCAAGTGGCCTCCAAGAGAGCTCAATATGGTCCCAGACAGCCCAAGAGCGATCAAAGACACCGAAGATGGCCTCCTGACGGCCCAAGATGCCCCCAAGAGGCCCCAAGAGGCATCCAAGATGCGTCCCAAGAGGGCCTCTAGACGCAAAAATTAGCCCGTTCCCTTCGTAAAGCGTGCGTTTTTTCACAAATTCGCCTTTCGGGCTTTCCGACGCTCCCAGACGGCCCAAGAGGCCCCCAAGACCGCCCCAAGACGGCCCAAGAAGCCTCCAAGAGGGCCCCAAGACAGCCCAACAAGGCGCTAAGACGGCTCAAGCGGCGCCGAAGACGGCCCAAGAGAGCCCCGATGACGGCCCCAAGAGCGCTCCAAGTGGCTTCCAAGAGAGCTCAACATGGTCCCACACGGTCCAAGAGCGATCGAAGACACCCGAAATGGCCTCCAGATGGCCCAACACGCCCCTGAGAGGCCCCCAAGATGCGTCCCAAGACGGTCCCTGGACGCAGACATGTACGTATTCCCGTCGTGAAACGTACAATGTTCACACATCCGCCTTCTGGGCTTTCCGACGCTCCTAGACGGCCCAAGAGGCCCCGAAAACCGCCCCAAGACGGCCCAAGAGGCCCCCAAGACGGCCCCGCGACGGTCCAATATGGCCCCAAGACGGCCCAAGAGGTCCCCAAAACGGCCCAAGAAGGCTCCAAGACGGCACCAAGAGGGGCCCAAGAGGGCAACCAACAATTCAAAAATCTAGCTTTCCGCCCCCACGAGCCCCAGGGGGCCCCAAGAGCGCCCCAACAGGCCGCCAACGGCCCTCAAGAAACCGCCAAGACGCCCCAAGGAGCCCACAAGAGGCCCCCAGGAGGCCCCCAAAAGACCCCCAGACGCTTCCGTATTGCGAGCCGTCACGCCAACTGCAATGCACTCCGCGCATACAACCTTACTCTTCCTCGCGACGCGCTCGCTATCTTGCTCGGCGCTAATGTGCTGCTGCCGCGCGAACTGTTTCGTGCGCGCTGCGAACGTCAACAGCCTCTTCACCCGTTTCGATTCATCTGCCACACCTTTCGCTGTGATGCTTCGCTGATCACAGCTTCCACACACTACTCTTGCTCCTTTCGTCTTCCAGTGCTCTGGTAGCGGGTCGAAAGGCCGACCTCCCAGAAGGACACCCCGCACCCAGGTGCACAGCACGCAAAGCGCTCGCAAAACACGCCCCAGACCACCGGCATCACGCAAACATTTGGACCCCCTACGTATCTGCCACCACCCGCGCGCGACACCGCACCCTCACACAAGACGCCGCTGGCCAGAAACTCCTGGCCTCGCAACACTCACAGAAGGGGTCGGCGGATGTGGCGTAAGCCTGTAGAGTCAGTGTGCACCACTGGTGGGGGGGGATCAACAATAATTATTCTTCAAGAATGAGAGTTCAACAACAACAACAACAACAACAACAACAACAACAACAGCAGCAACAGCAGCAGCAGCAACAGCAGCAGCAGCAGCAGCAGCAACAACAACAACAACAACAACAACAACAACAACAACAACAACAACAACAAAAACCACAACAGCAACAACAACAACAACCACAACAACCACAACAGCAACAACAACAACAATAACAACAACAACCACAAAAACAACAACAATAACAAGAACAAGAACAACAACAACAACACGAAGAACAAGAACAAGAACAACA